GATTTTTAATTTTTATTTAAAAATTATATAAATAAGAACTTATCTTATACAGAAATAATAGATGAATACATGAAAAATAAAAAAATACAAAATTTATTTATAAACAGTAATTACAAATTACAAACTATCAAAATTAAATTTAAAGATAATTTTATGATAATGATTAACGAAATATTATTAATGTATTTAAAGAATACTAAATTAAATAAGTAATTGAATTCGTTTAGGTAATAATTTAATAATTTTAAAAATAAAGATATTAATAAAAAAAATAATGATGAAAATAATAATAATAATAATGAAAATAATAATAATAATAATAATAATAATAATAATAATAATAATAATAATACAATTATCAAGAAATGTAAAATAAATTCTTTATATAGCAATTAATCTAAATATCATAATTTAAAAAAATCTTTCATGCATATGATTATTTAAATTTTTAAAGAAGATATTTTAATTGTTTTAATCTTACTAATTTTGATATTGAATAAATACTTAAAATAATAAAAAGAATGAGATTAATTTCCATTAAAAAAGACCTATTAAAGGACAATACGAATATTATACACATTTACATTATACAGCTCTACTTTTGAAAATTACTTAAGAAAATATACGTATCATTTAAAATTCTGATAAGGATTTAAAATTACATCAAGCTATTTTTCAAGAAAGCATATAATAGTGTAATATTTATGACTAATAGATAATTAAATGTAATTATTTTAAAAATATTATTGGGTAAGTTATTATTAAATCAATAAATATGTTTGATTCTAAGAAATTTATTTAAGATAATAACGAGACTTATCTTGATAGATTTTACTATATATTAAAAGCTAAAAAAGCAATTAAATTGCTTTTAAAAGGAATTCAAATTTTAAGATTTTGATAATTAATTTTTATTTTATTTTTTTAAAAATTATATATAATTGATTTTTAACTATTTCATATATAAAATTTTAATATTAAATCAAATAATTATTTATATTTATAACTTAAATTTACATTTAGCGAAGAAATATTTATTCTTCGTTGTTTATTTAAAAAAATTGAACCAACATTATAAATTTATTTAGTGTATTATTTTATTTAACAAAAAAACATTTAATTTTAATTTTTTTTTCTTCCATATTAAAAATAAAATTTAATTTATTTAAATGTAAAAAACATAAATCTATTTTTTTTTAATAAAATAATAAGAAAAAAATTAAATTTCTTTCGAAAAAAAAAAAAAAAAAAATCCTTTATGTCACTTAAATTAACAAAAAAAATATTTGAAATAAGTTAAATTTTTTATTAATTTTCAGATTTTTATTAAAATAAGAAATTAATTAATTATTTTTATATAGATTATATAAATATAATTACTTTCTCTTATTTTTTATTTTTTTAAATAATAGTATTTATTTATTAATAAAAAATTAATTAATTAAATTTGTTAATAATTTAAGACTATACAAATTCAGATTGAAGCTTAAGTAATTAATCAAAGTACGATTAAAGATATATAAAATCAAATTAAAGTATTTATTTTATATTAAGTAATAGGATTTTTTTTAAAAATAATAATTAATTAATTAGATCAATAATTAAAAATATATTGGCATAATTAATATAAAAACATATAAACTCATGTTTATAAAAAATATAAATATTATAAAAATCTTTAAATGTTAAAATATATTTCAAAAAAAAAATTAAATGGAAAAATATTTAAAGAATACAAATTAAAGATTTATAAATTAAATAAATAATACAATATAAAAATAAAGAATAAATACTTTAAAAACTAAACAATTTAAATAGAAAATCAAGAAATAGAAAACTAAAAAAACCCAAAGGAATAATAAATAATATTTATAAGAAAAAAAAGCTAAGAATTAGAAAAATATATAAAATTTTATTAAATTTTATATATTTAAATTAATAATAAGTTGAACAAATAAATTAATAATAAATCGAAATTAAATAGAAAATAAAGATTTATAAGAAAAAGAAAACAAATTAAATTTCTAAAATAAACAGTTTTAAAATATAAAGAATTAATATTTAGCAAAAACATAAATAATAAATGAATAAGTAATTTAATAGAATAAATTAAATAAAAATTAATTTAAAAAGAAATTTAGATAATCTAAATATTGTTTTCAATTTAAAAATAAAATAAAAAAGATTAAAATAAACTTAGGCTGGCTTCTAATAAAAAATAAGACAATAATTATGAGAAGGATAAAATAATTAAGATAAAGAAAATTAATTATAGAGTAAAACAAAACAAAAAATTTAAAATAATAAAGGGAGAATAATATAATAAAATGGATAAAACATAATAAATAATTTTGATAAATATAATTATATAATAACTATATTTAAAAAGTTATTTAATATATATTATATAATAAAAAATACATTTTTATATTTAAAATAATAAAAGTTAAAATTAATATTTTTATAAAAAAATCAAAATTATTATCCAAATAAAATTATGTATATATTTTATAAAATCTATACTTATATTTTTATAGAAATTTTAATATAATTAATTAAAAGTAATAAATTAATTTAAATTAAAATTTTATATTAATTAATAATAATAATATAAATAAGAGACATAAATTAATAATTTTAAATAATTAAATATTATAAGAAATTTTAAAAAAGATTTATTAAATAATAATAAACAAATAAATGGAAAAAAAATAATATTAAATGATATATATTATTTATTAAAATATATATATATATATATATATTTACATATATAAATATATAATTAATATAATATTATTAAATAAATTTATAATATTGAATTAAATATTTTATTTTTTAAATAATTCTTAAATTAATTTTACAGGTGATTTTTAATTTATTAATAAATCTATATGGAAACATAAAATTTTAAATATAATATAATAATCAATCAAATTCAAATTTTCAAATGATATTTATTTTAAATAAAATTAAAATATAAATTAAAGTATTGAAGAATAATATTTTTTAATATATAATTTTATAAGGAAAAAATAATAAATAAAAACATAGATATAATAATAATTATAAATATTTTAATAAAATATTAAATAATAATTTAAAAAGAAATAAATAGAAATTTAAAAAACCAGTCTAAATGTTAATTCCAAAATTAATTTCTTTATAAATACAAAAGTATTATTCTTAATAATTAATTCAAAAAATTTATTATTAAAATATTAATTTATTTATTATTATTATTATAGTATTTTGAATATAAATTCCATGTAATTACTTAATAATTTCTATTATTTCAATAAAATTTTTAAATGTATAAAATGTTTAAATTTATATTCTAGTTATTATTGAATTTCGGTATGTTAAAAAGTTTCATTAAAATGAATTTTATTCTAATGAGAATATTTTATAAATACAACTATATAATTTAAATGACATATAATCTTTAATAAGAAAAATATTAAAAATCAATAATAAAAAATAGTATCAAATATTTAATTTTATAAATTTTTTGTTATTTTTTTTTTTTTGACAATAATTATTTATAAATTGTCTTTGCTATTAATAATTTTATTTTATAATTTAATAGAAATTATTAAAATAAATAATATAAATTTATATCTTCATTTTAAATTAATAATAAATAAATTTGTATACTAATTCATTTATTATATATTTATATTATTTATAGAAAAAAACTTAAAATTTAAATAATTAATAAATTAATCTATATTTATATGATAAATATATATAAAAAAAAAAATAATACTTAATTAAAATAATTTTTTCTGGTGTTAATTGTCTTGCACATTTTTGTGCTCATAAAGAAATAAAGCAATTTTTTTTTATATATTTAATTATATAATTAAGTTATTAAAATATTTTGTAAATAAAATTTATATATATATATATATATATATTATAATATTTGTATTTAATTTTTATTTATAAATATATATTTTTTTTTTCAAAATCTATTTTATAATAATAAATAAATTATTGTATGCTGTTTGTATTTATCAAATTTAATTTAAATTATTATTAAAATTTTTATTAGAAAAAGTTTGATTAAAACTAGGTTAATAATTCTTTAAGTTATTCTAATTTAAGGAATTTCCTAAAAAATTACTTTCAATTTTATTAAATTTCATTTACTTTTCAAGTGAGATGCCTTTATAAATATTACTGTTTTATCCTTATATATTTTTATTAAAATTTCTTTATTATAACAACTAATTAAATTTATTATTAAAAGCAAATGTACTTGCAAAATTATTAGAAGGATTTTAAACTGAATATATACCAAATCCACCGTTCTAAATATAATTAATATTGTTTTAATTAAATAATTATTTATTGTTATTATTATAATTATAAATTTGATTAATAATATTATTATTATAATCTTTATTATTTTTAATGTTATTATTATTATTATTATTATTATTATTATTATTAATATTATTATTATTTATATTTTATTAATTGAATATTTCATTATTTTTTTATAAATTAATATTAATTTATTCCCAAAAATTATTTTCTTCTTTATTTTTTTCATTTTTTATCATTTAATTTACATTATTTTCCTCTAAATATATTTATGAAGCTTTGAAATTTTATTCATTCTACTATTTATTTATTAAAAACTTTTTATTTTAAATAATATCCATTATTTACAAATTAATTTCTTTTTCTTATTAAATAAAATTTTCATCTTATTTAATAAAAATTTCCTTTTCAATAAAATATTTATGTTTTAATATTTCCGCAAAACTCGGTCTTTTTTATGGATCATATTATAACATTTACTCTATTAAATTTAATCCATCTTCACCAGCTTCAGGAATAAATTAACTAAACTACTTTTTAATTTTATTTTATGGAAAAAAAATCCCTATTTTACTTGCCAATTATATACCTTCCTACCAAATATACTATTTAGGAGTACCTAAAGTATTAATAATTTCATAAAGATGTTCCACATCATTCTTACCGGCTCATAAAGGTTCCTATCTATACAATTCTGCCATAATACACCCTAAAGCGAAAACATCAACAGGTGAATTATAATGTTTACTTCTTAAAAGCAACTCAGGAGCCCTATACCATCTCGTGGAAACATAATCTGTAAAAGGTGGCCTTTACCTAATTTCCTTTGCAAGTCCAAAATCGCAAATTTTGACATTTTTCCCATCTTCAGAAATTAATACATTTTCCGGTTTCAAATCTCTATGAAAAAAGCCGTGTTAATGCATATATGAAATTCCTTTAGCAATTTAAAAAATTATATCTCTGATATTTTTTTCAGGTATTTTTTATCTCTAATTTTTATATTATGTGTAATATTAATATATGTTAATGTCCATATGCTCAAATATTAAAAATAAATCATTTTCTATTTTTAATATTTCTTACAATTTTATAATATTTGGGTGATTTAGTTTTCGTAGAGATTTTACTTCACGAAGGTCTAAACATTCTTCCCATTTTGAAAATTTTTATTTTATTTATTTTATGGCTACTTTCATGTTTGTTTCAGTGTTTAAAGCTTCGGAGACTTCGCCATATGTACCATCACCGATTTTACGTATTATTTTATATTTTTACATTTTTTTTTTATTATATATATATATATAAAGTTTTTTTTCAATAAAATCTAGTTTTTTTATTTTAAATTATTTTTAAGTTTTTTTTTTTTTTTAATTTAAAAAAACAAAAAAATATGAATTTTATTATTTTTATTTTTATGAGTATTTTTTGTTTATTTAATTGCTAGTAATAATTAAATGATAGTAATTTTGATGAATTTATTCAAAATAATAAAGATAAAGTTATAATTTTATTTGATCATAATAAATGTAAGTCTTAATGTTAATATTATAAAGAAACGTTAAAAAATATTCATTAGATAAAACATTATATAATTAATTGGTATATTTTTTAAAAAATTATAAAAAAATAAATATTATAAAAGTTCTATTTAAAGAAATTTAAAAGGAAGATTTGATATAGATTATTTTCCATATATTATTTTGGTCAAAGATTAAAGATTTATATAATATTAAGGTAGTTCTTAAATTTAAGAAATAATGAATTTCATTAAAAATAACAATAATAGTGAAAGATTTTTAAAAATACCAGGAAAATTAGAATTTTTTTAATTTATTAAAAATATAATTTTTAAAAGAATTTCTTAAATAAATTTTTTATTTTCTTTTAAAGGAATTAGTTTGATTAGTTTTTTAAGTATTTTTATTTTGGTTTTATTTTTAAATATGAGAAATTTTAAAAAAGAACTAAATAATAAAAAAAAATGAATTTTTAATTTTAAATAAAAAAAACGAAATTTAGAATATTTATATAATATATTTTAAATAAATTTATTTTTAATATTTCTAATATATGTATTTTATAATTATGTTATAAACCACAATAAATTCATGTATTTGTAAATAATATAAAATCAAATATATATATATTAAATTGTTAAAGATAAATATGTTATCTTTTATAATTTACATTACAAAATATATTAATAGATATAGTTTTGATTATAGTTAGTAATTAAAACTTGCTTTATATAAAGAAAAAATATTAGAAATTTTAATTATAGAAAAATATTATAAATGATTATTTTATTAAATCATAGATTTAAAAAATATTAAAAGTTTAAAAGATTAAAAAAAAAAGTATAAAAAATTAACAATAATTAAATATCAAAAATACTTATAAGTATTCTTTAAAAAAAATATAAATAAATCTATTTATCATAATATTAATATAAAACAATAAAATTGTTTAAAAAATAATTAAAATTTATGATTTCTACTAATGAAAAAATGATAATTATTTATTTAATTTTTAATTTTTAGTCTATTAGCATTTTCTTAAAAAATGAAAAATTAATATTTTAAATAAATTAATTCAAGAAGATAATAAATATTAATCCAAATATTATAAAATTTACAAATATAATATTGAAATTAAAATTATAGGCTTCTCCGATTATATTGCACCTGAAATTATTTAAAGCAATATAATTATAGATTGATGTAGTTAGGAATTATTTAGTACAAAACTCTAGTTAGTATATCCCCATTTAATGACAAAACTATAATAAAATATAATCAATTTAAGAATCTAATGATTCTAGGTATGAAAAAAAAAATGAAGAATAAGATAAAATATCGTCAGAAGCCAAATATCAATACAAAAGCAATTTTTTCAGGAGTACAAATAAAGAATATAGAATGTGAGAAGATAAAATAACGATTTTTTTAATATAAAAATAAATATGTATCGATAATCCTTAAATAAGATTAAATGAATGGAAGATTATAGAGTTTTTTAATAAGTCTACATATAAATTAAAATTGAATATAAATAATAATAATAAGAATAAATAGAAATTATAGTCTCTATTTTTATGAAAGACTGTATTTATTAATAAAAAGGAGACGAAGTGTAAATAAAATTAAAAATATTAATAAAAAAGATGTATTTTTTATAAAAATATTTATAATATAATGTGAAAAAATAAAAAGGATTTTATAATATAATATATATAAGATGTATTTTTTAAAAATATAAGAAAAAAAATAAATAAGAAATTTTAAATTTATTTTAATATTATAGGAAAATTTAGAATTTAAATGAATCTATAGTTATAAATAATTGACTTTTTTATATTTAAAAAAATATATTTTAATAAATAGCATAAAATATATATAATTTAAAATAATAACTTATACACATATAAATAATAAATTAAAAAAAAAATTATTTTATTTTAAGTTTTATTTAAATTGAAAAAAAAAAAAATGGACGCTCCTCAATTAAATGAAGATGAATTAAATGAAATATATAGTTGGATAGATTCTATAAGCCTATCAAGACCTAAAAAAAATATGGCAAGAGATTTTGCAGATGGAGTTTTAATGGCAGAAGTAATAGCTAATTTTTTCCCAAGATTAGTATAATTGCATAATTATTCAGGTGCAAACTCAATGAAATAAAAAGTATATAATTGGGAAACATTATAATGTAAAAATTCGAATAAATAAAAATATAATAATATATATAAAAATATATATATATATTTATATATATTTAAATTTACATTTACATTTAAAATAATATAAATTTATAAATTCATAAATTATTTAATATAATTTATTTATTTTATTTTGTAAATATAGAAAAAGTATTTAGAAAATTAGGATTATAAATTAGTAAACAAGATATTAATAATATTATAAATTGTGTACCTGAGTCCATTGAAAGAGTACTTCGAGTTATTTAAATAAGAATTCAAGACATGATTAATGAATAATAAAATAATTCTCCTTTAAAAATATAAAATAATTCATGTGAAAGAAATGTATAAAATAATTATTCTAACTCAAGAAACAACTAAAGTTAAAATGTAAATGAAATGTAAAATATTTTAAATAGATTTAAATTATTTTATATAAATAAAATTTATTTTAGAAATAAATAAAGTTAAAGAAATCAAAATAATTAATAAGATGAAATAATTTGGGAAAAAGATTAAACAATTAATGAATTAAGAGAAACTATAGATGTACATAACTTTCTATTGCTATATTTATAATCATAATTATTATTATTATTATTATTTTTATTATTATTATTATTATTATTATTATTATTTTTTTATTTATTTTATAATAATATTTTTATTATATTAATTATTATATTATTTTTTATTTCATTTTTTTCTTTAAGATTTTAGAATTAAAAATTAGAAAATTAGAAGATTTAATAAAGTTAAAAGATAATAAGATTAATACTCTTTAAAATAAACTAGGTGAACATGGTTTATATTGAAAATAATAAACTATTAAATAAATTATATTTTTTTATAAATATATATAATTTTAATATTTTATTTTTTCTTAAATAATTTTTGGCTTTTATTTTTATTTTAATTATATATATATATAAATATATTTGTTTCTGTTATAAAATTCTTTAATTTTAATATATATAATATATATTTTTTTAAATAAAATAATTATTTTATTATTATATATAAATTAAAAAAAATTACAAAATATATAAAATAAATAAATAATTAATTATTTTTATTTGAAATAAATTGATTAACTATATAATTATATATAAAAAATTTTTAGTAATTTTATATTAAATTATTTTTTATTTTAAATAAAAAACTTTTATAATATATATTTTATATTAACTTATATAAAAATATGAAAAATTATTTATTTAATAAAAACAATTTATATTATTAACATTAAAGAAAATATATATATATAATTTTTTTTATACCATTAATTTTAAATTAAGTAATATTAATATATATAAATATATAGATTTTACAATATTATAAATTTTTATTAATTAATATATGACTATAATATTATTTATTAAAAAGATATATTAAAATAATTGATTCTATATAAGTAAAAAAAGAAAATACTCTATAATATAATGAAAAAAAAAAAAAATATTTATTAATTAATTTTTTTAAATAAATAAATAAATAAAAAGTATATATTTTAATACCAATTAAGCTTTATAAATAAATTAAAAGCTAAAATATAATTTTGTGCAATTTAATATATAAAATAATTTAAATATAATTTCTTTATAATTATAAAAAATATATATTTTTTTAAAAAAAATTGAATATCTTTTTTATGCTTTAAATATATATATATATATATTATTTAAATAACTTAAAAAAAATATTACACTTTTTTTTTAATATTAAAAAAATAAAAAATTTTACTATAATAAGAAAAAAACCTATATAATATATATAATTACATATAAATATTTTATTTTATTTTTTCAGTCTAGAACTTTATTTCGAGTGAATTTTCTAAAGTAAAAGACTATTTATAATAATAGAAACACTAAATGAAAGGAAAATAAATATATAAAACTTCCTAATAAATATCTAATAAAAACTCTATTCTAGATATTAAATAAGAGAATTTATCTAATTATTATTAAGAAGTTTATAAAAAAATGAAATTTACAGAAAAAGAAGATGAAATCATCCTTAATTTCGTTTAAAAACATGGAAAAAAATGGTCAGAGATAGCTAAAAAACTACAAGGAAGGACTGAAATAATGATAAGAAATAGATATTATTTAAAAATAAGGAAACTAAGATAATAATAGGAAGAATAAAATATACCTAAAGATACATACTCTATTGAAAATAATATAAATATAACTAATAATAATATAACTAATGACTATTTTGCTGACATTGAAAACTAAAATTTAGATATTGATTTTTTCGAAAAGAAGAAAATTAATTTTCTAGAAAATAATAATTTAATCAATAAAGAAAATAATAATTTATTATTTAAAAAAGAAAATAATAATGTTTTTTTCGAAAAATAAAATAATAATAATAATGTTATTTTGTAAAAATACAATAATAATAATAATGATGTTTTTTAACAAATAGATAATTACTAATTAATTTAAAAATAAGATAATTTAAATATATTTAACAAAGATAAAATTAATAATAAATTAAATAAATAAAAAAATATCTATTATTTATAAAATTAAATATAAATGATATAATAAATACTTTATTAATGTAAAAGCGAAATCTTAAAATAAAATATTTCAATATAAAATATTGACGGGTTATAATTAAATACTTTTTTAAATGATTCTGATATGATTTTCTAATAATAAAATAAGAGTTTAGATTTCTTTTGAATTTATATTTTTATATATTTGTTTGTATTTTTTTTTTTTTAATAATTATTAATTTTTTTATTTAAAAATTCATTATATTTATATAAAAATAAATTATATATATTCATTAGTTTTAATTTTTTTTTTTATATTAAATTATTTACATATTTTATGAATATAAATTAAATATATATTTTTTTTTAATATTTAAATTGATTTTAATTTTTTTTTAAAAAAAGAAATAAATATTAAAAAAAAATGGCATAAAGTGTAGCTTAATATGTTTCAAATTAAATAACAACCAAATATAATACAAAAGACAAAAAAAATACAAAAAACTAAATAGACCCAAGAGTTATAGATGAAAACTTAATTATGTATATATATATATATATATATATATATATATATATATATATATATATATATAATTTGCATATATATTTATACAATTATTAATAAATATAGATAATGTGTAAAATAATTTAATCAAGAAAATAGTAAAATTGTTTCAGAAAATATAATACTTTAATAGTTAAGAATTCTACAATTATCATTTAAGAGTATTTTATATTTATTAATTTTAAATTATAAAATATAATAATTAAATAAAGATATTGCAAAAATATAAAATTTGGATGGATTAGAAAAACTTGAAAAGCTACAACTTGATAATAATTTAATAGCTAAAATAGAAGGAATAGGTCATTTAGTAAATTTGAAATGGTTAGGTAAAATAATATTTAAATAATTAATATAATATTAAATAAATAAAAAGATCTTTCATTTAATTTAATTGAAAAAATTGAAGGATTGGAAAATCTGAAATAGTTAAAAGATTTATCATTATTTAATAATAGAATAAAAAAGATAGAAGGACTCTAAAAAAACTTATTATTAAATGTATTTTCTGTAGGAAATAATAAGTTAGCTTCTTACGAAGAAGTAAATAAATCAATTAAAATAATTAATTATATATTTATTTTTTTATTATATTATTTATTTATTTTTAATTATTATATTTTATTTTTAATTAAAATATAAATATAGATAACTGGATATTTCTAATATAAAAAGGCAAATGATGAAGGTACTTAAGAAAGATTTCATTTTAAGCATTTATAAGTTTTAAATGTATTAGGAAATCCTTTTACTAGGGATAAAGAAAATGAATACAAAGTATATATATAAAGATATATATATATAAATTATATATATATATATTTTTTTTTACTAATTTACTATTTTATTATTTTTTTTTTAACTAAAAATGATAATTTAAATTTTTTTATTATAAAATTTATAAATCTAAAATAATTTTTTTTTTTTTTATGTATAATTTTATTTATTATAAAAAAAGACTCATATTATTTGTGCTATACCTAATTTAAAATATTTAGATTATGTTTTTATTGATGAGGGTGATAGAAACTTAATTAAATAAAATGAAGAAAATATATTTGCAATGTATTAAATAACTACAACTGAATATGAGAAGCAAATGAAAGCTTTAGAAGAAACAGAATTAGAAATATAGAGATAATAAAGAATAAAAAAAGAAGCAAAAATGGATATTTTAGATAATTTAGGAGATTAATTAGTTAATATAGAAGAGTTAAATAAAGTAAAATTAATTTAACCTTTATAAATATAAGAAGAAATCGAAAAGTAAAAAAATAAAAATAAAAATTAATAAAAAAATAAAAATAAAAAATTTTTAGATTTAAATAAAAAGTTGAATTAGCTGTAAAAGATTCAATATAAACACATGTTATTAAAAATCATTAAGAAATAATATCAAATTAGTAAAAATACGAGTAATCATTTAGAGATAGAGAAATTGTATCTGAAAAGGAAAATTTAGAAGTTTTAAGAATTTTCGAACACTAAAAAAAAATTGTCTTTAGAAATTGGGAAAAACAATAAAGAAATAATGAAGGTAATTTATAAATTGAAAATAATATATATATATATATATGAATAAAAAAAGAATTATAAAATAATTAATAAAAATATATAAAATTTAAATATTTTTTTTTTTTTAAATAAAACAAAACAAAAACAAAGAAAAAAAAGATGATAGTGAATTAAAGTAATTAATAGAAGAAACAAAAGAATTAAAAAATAAACTTTTAAATATAGAAATTTAATTAGTTGAAGAATTAGAATAGGCATAAACAGATTTTGAAAATTTCTTTAAAGATAAAATATAGAGAGAAATTGATCCCTTTTTTGATACTGGAAGTAAAAAAGTAGACGATTGTGTTTTGGAGTTTTATTAAAAACTTAATGATATAAAGACATATGAAGATAAATAATATCATTAAAATCTTGATTAATAAGAAGAAGAAGAATAAGATTTAGAAGAAAGTGAAAGAAATAGTGTATAATAAAAAAAAAAAATTACAAAAAAAAAAAAATAACAAAAAAAAAAATAGTTACTTGAAAATAGAGAAGCTTTAAATTAACTTATAATGTAAATTAAAGATACAATATAAGAAAATGCTGGATAAAAAGTTATATATATATATTTTTTTTTATAGTTTTTTAATATTTTTTTTACTAAATTAGATTTAAAAATGCTAAACTTTAATTAGTTAAGATTAAATTTAATATTCTTAATAAAAAAAAGCAAGAATGTATGAAAGAAATAGAAAGAACATAAAATAAATTTTATAATAAATTAAAAGTTATGAAGCTGAAATTTTAAATAAAATTTAAGAAAATGAAAGTGATAGTGATAGAGAATGAAAAAAAAAAATAGAATAAATATATTTCTTTTTTTTTATTCGGTTTTTGTTATATTATTAAAATAAATTTTTATTATTTATTATATAAATTTAATTATATATTAATTACATAGTTTTTATAATATTATTTTTATTTACAATTTTTTTTTTTTTATTATAGTTTAATTTTATTTATTCTAGATATTTATTTTAAAATAATATAATAAACTTTATAATTATTTATAAAAATAAATAATTAATTAAATATATTATTAAATTATTAATTTTAGGGATTAAAAATTATAAAATACACATATCTATATATATATATATATTTAATAATTTAAATGAATATAATAAATATAAATATAATATTGATTATTAAATATTTATAATTTTATTTATATTAGAATAATTTTTTTTTATTTTACATATAATTTATACTTTACTATTTATTTTTATATAAAATTATAATATTTTATAAGTTTATTAGATATAAATAAATGAAAAAATTATATAATTTATAAAAAAAATATATAAAAAAATTATATAAAAATAAATAAATAATATAAATACAAAAAATTATTTATAATTTTGATAATAATTTATTAATTAATTTTAATTTTATATATATTAATTTCTTTTTTTAATATATTTTATATTTTTTAGACAAATAAATATAAAGAAAAAACAAAAAAAACTCATGCTTATAATTTTTGATCTTTTTTAGAACAACAAGAAAAAAGGCAACTAACTTTATTAACCGATAAATTATTTTTTAAAATATTTTTTTTTTCCCTGAGTTTTTTTAATATGTTAAATGTTAGTTCCAGCCCATATCTAAATATCATATTCTAAATTGATTTAATCCTTATATTATAAATCATGTACTATACAAACCGTATCTAAAAACCTTAAACTGGAATTTTAAACTAGTTCTGTAAAAATATTATTTATCTCTTTAATATTCTCAATAATAATATCTGATATTAATTATTTTGTATATGGATATACTATATCTTATTCAAAAGTCATTAATAATATTTAGTCTTACATATAATTTAATTCTCTTAATAATTATTTCCATATTATCGAAAACTCAAATAATAATTATTTCTTATATTCAATATTTTATAGTCCTCCTAATACTTCTACAAGACGAGTTTATTATATTTTATCTATTAATCCTAAAACTCTTTTTTTTGATTTTCTATTAATTCGTAACTGCTTATTTTTAAATAACTTTACTTAGATGTTACTGATACTTGTAAATTAGTATTATTTTAATGTGTATTTGTTTCTATCTAAAGCATATCGTTTTTTAAATTACTATTGAAAGTCTTTCTTTTATTTTAATCTATAATATGTTGCTAATTAATCATTAAATAAAATATGAATATATTTAAAAATAAAAATTTACAATATATTATTTATTTTTTATTTTTTTTATCAAAAAAATAAATATTCATTTATTATTGTTATATATAATAACTTATAAGAAATATTTATTTAAATATTATGTTTATTGAAAAAATATAAATATTATTTATAAATATATTAAAAATAAATATTTTAAAGGAATTAATAAATAAAATAAAAATTAAATAATAATATAATTTAAATATTATAAATATCTATATATAAATAAATATAAATAAAAATATATAAATTATAAGTATATATATATATATATATATATATATATATATATATATACTACTAAATTAAAT